CTGTTAGTAACAAGCCAGGTGACACTTTCCCGGTGCTTGAAATGGCATTTTCTGTGTTGTTCCTCGGACATTTACTGAGCTTCATCTCCCCACCCCGGCCCCTGCCGTGCTAGGCCTCCGGAGCAGCAGCAGGCTGTGTCCCTGGGGCTGTCCAGCAGTCGCTCGTCCGTGGCTCATTCTGGGCGGGTCCGTGTGCAGGGACAGCGATGGGCTGAGTCTGGAACAGGCCTGGATCAATAGGGTTACCAGCGCTGTGTTGTTCCTCGGACATTTACTGAGCTTCATCTCCCCACCCCGGCCCCTGCCGTGCTAGGCCTCCGGAGCAGCAGCAGGCTGTGTCCCTGGGGCTGTCCAGCAGTCGCTCGTCCGTGGCTCATTCTGGGCGGGTCCGTGTGCAGGGACAGCGATGGGCTGAGTCTGGAACAGGCCTGGATCAATAGGGTTACCAGCGGCTATTCTCAGTGGTCCTCTTTGGAAGGGTGGCTCCAGGGGCTTTTCATCTGCTCGTTCCTGCAGACAGCTGAGCCAGTGGTACCCATTCAGGTGGTGCTGTGGGCACAAGGCGCGGGCGCCCACTGGACTCTGGCATAGCCATTGAGCTGCGGGCGCTAATGTCGAGTGAAGGCAATGGGGGACATGGGGCATGTCTGCCTGCAGTCAGGAGGGGTGGCTGCAGCACAGCGAGCAGAGCAGCCAGGCAGATGCCCAGGTGAGCTGGCCGAGTAGGTACCTCGGCTCCCAGGTGAGCTTGCAGCTGGGGCTCTATAGTGAGTGAGTGAGCGTGGACATGGCTGGTGATTGCTGGGTGGGCATAGGGCCTGGGGGGATTGCTGGGGGTGGCACCGGGGCATGGGAAACCAGGACTCCTGGGTTCTGCCACTTTGCAGGCTGGGAGCTGCATAAGTGCTGGTGAGCTGGCCGAGTAGGTACCTCGGCTCCCAGGTGAGCTTGCAGCTGGGGCTCTATAGTGAGTGAGTGAGCGTGGACATGGCTGGTGATTGCTGGGTGGGCATAGGGCCTGGGGGGATTGCTGGGGGTGGCACCGGGGCATGGGAAACCAGGACTCCTGGGTTCTGCCACTTTGCAGGCTGGGAGCTGCATAAGTGCTGGCCCCTCTGCCTGGGTTATAGATAGTGGGGGTGGGGCTGCAGAGCCCTCAGCCAGTGGGGAGGGGGGGCGGCTGTAGCCCGGGGCGGGGCATCCTCTGAGCATCAGGTGGGGTGAGGCTCATAGAGGAGCGTGTGAAAGCCAGACCAAAGCGCGAGGCTGTTGGCAAACTCAGCGCTGTGTGACAGCTGCCGTCGTCGCAGGCTCCTGCCCTGGTTCGCACCCCTGCTCTCAGCCTTATTAGCAGTGGCAGGAGGCAGGCAGAGGTGCCGAAGGCCCAGAGGGATTTTTCACGCCTCTCTCCACATGCGCCCTCGTGCTTCCCGTGGCCTGTTTGGCAGTGGCAGGGTGGCACTGCAGCCCAGCATGCCCAGCGAGCCCCCCGTGGGAGAGATCAGTGGCACCCCCTTGTGCCCCAGAAGTGAGGGCCAGGCAGCGGGGAAGTGACAATACCAGAGCTGGGATCAGAACGCCCCCATCTGCCTCTCCTCTGGCCCATCCTGCCTCCCTGCTCTACCTAATGGAAAGCATCGGCCATGAATTCCCATCTTCTGCCTCTGCCTTCGGTGGTTAATTCATTGGCAACAGTAGGCAGGCGATGTTTAACAGCGGGAGCAACGGCACTGGGTGCCAAACTCCGGCCACCCGGGCCAGGGGCCGGGAGATTTCTGGGAGAACTGGGGCACAGGTGAGGTGGGAGGATGCTGTACGCGGATTGTTGATTCAGGCCCCCAGCAGCTGATTTCCAGCTCGCCTACCCCACACCCGCATCGTCCCTGTAACGTGGCTCTTCTGCTTGGCCTTGGCGTCAGCTGGCGGGTGCGCCAGGGCCATTAGGAAGGCGAGCTCCTCTGCAGGGAGAATAACCTACATCTGACCTCGCCTGCCTGCGATTCTAACCTGCCTGGGTACCATGCAGACAGAGGCTGGTGGGGTTTAGGGCTGTGATCCTTACGTTTTGGAGGTTACACGGGGGAAGAAAGCCCCCTTTGTTTTACAGAGGTTGTTAATCTTCCATCCCAGCCCTGCCAAGCTGAGCAGCAGTGTGAGAGTGGAGAGAGCAGTGCGCTAGGACATCTGGGTCTATTCCTGCCTCCGCCACTGCTCAGTTACATGACCTTGGGCAAATCCCTTTCTCCACTGGTGCCCCCCTCCATCCTGTCTTTAAATCCTAAGCTTCTCTGGGCGGGGGTGTCTCTCACTATATGATCATGCAGCACCCAGGACATGGAGGTGCTGATCTCGGTTGGGATCTCCACGCAGGCGCTGATCTCGGTTGGGATAGGGTGATATTTACATGGTAGTGTCTCATTAAGCTGGACACCCCCTAAAATGAGTACACACTGGTGCCCCCACTTTCTGAAGGAGATGTTGAAGCCAGGTAGAGCCGGGTCCTGGAAGGCATGCACAGCCCCCCCCCCCACAGCACCAACTGCCGCGAAAGCCAGCCCTGGTATGTCTGTGTGTGCGGCGAGCCCAGTCCCTGCCTGCAGTATAGGTTTGCTCACGGTCAGTGCCGGAGCTGGGAAGAGGAGTCATAACTCCCTGCGCTCTGATCACTAGACCAGTCCCCTCTCAAAGAGCCTCATTTGCTCTGGAGTGACTCTGCTTATGGCTGGTTTACACCAGAGCACATGATAAAAGCCAGCCCTGGTATGTCTGTGTGTGCGGCGAGCCCAGTCCCTGCCTGCAGTATAGGTTTGCTCACGGTCAGTGCCGGAGCTGGGAAGAGGAGTCATAACTCCCTGCGCTCTGATCACTAGACCAGTCCCCTCTCAAAGAGCCTCATTTGCTCTGGAGTGACTCTGCTTATGGCTGGTTTACACCAGAGCACATGATAGGGGAAGCCAGGCCCTGAGTTCTTACTGTGATGCCATCACGCACATTTCTGTGGTGCCTTGACCTTGTTTGTAGGGTCCTCGGGGCTGTCTTGATGGAACTGGGCCACATGTTCCTCTCTGCTTCTGCGGGCCTTGCGTTCAGAGGCCGTCGCGGCTGGATGCGGGTGTTTGCAGCCATGTATCTCATCGGGGGATTTATTTTTCTTTAGCTCTAGCAGTGACGTCGTTCCATGAACACACGTTACATTCATGCAGCGCCTTCCATCCCAAAGCATGTGACATAGCCGGGGGATGCTCCCCCAGCAATGAAATGCAGCCACCTCTGGGGTGGAATGCAGCAACAGTTTAACCACACTGCACAGGGATCACGTCTCATCCTCTGCTGAAATGCAGCCAGCTCCCAGGTGAGCTGTGGCTGCTGGCTAGCAGTGCCCCTGCATGGGGATCACTCACCCAAATGCAGCAAGCTCTGGGCTGGAACAGGCCAATTTGAGCAACACAGTGCAATCGTTCAACACAGGAGGGGGAAAAGAAGCAAGACAGTAATTTCCCCATCTGGAGTTTGACGAGGACCCTGGAGCTCACCCCCTGCCCTGGCAGAGAGCTCGATGGGGTTTGTCATGAGCGCAGGGGCTCAGCCCACTGGCCTGGATGACTCATCTGAAAGGCTCCTCGGTGCCCGTGGGCATTGGTTCAGAGCTGACCTCACCTCTCCAGCTGCACGTCAGCACCACTGCCTCTTCCTGGGAGACTCGCTTTCCCACCCAGATCCCGCCTGCGCATCATGCAGCTGGAGTGGGGAGATCTGACAGGACCCCGGCATGAGGTGCTACCGTCCTTTGGGGCACTGCCTCTTCCCAGCTGGCCCAGCCTGGCAGTAGCCGTGGGTGCCAAAATTCTCCTGCATCCAAAATTCCCAGCCCACTGCTGTGTATTACATCTTCCCCGGTGAGCAGTTGCATCAGCTTCTGCCTGTGTCCTCCCCAGGGGTCCCCATGCCTGTGGGACAGCTCCCCCACCTCCGATCCTCTGCCTGCGCCCAGCAAAGGGGCAGGGGACCCCATGCCAATTGTACAGCTCCCCTATCTCTGATCCTTGGCTGTCAGGCTTTGTCCCCCTGCTCGCGGCTCGCTGCCCCCGACAGTGCGTTAGACACGCTCAAACAGCCCGCGGAGGAAATGTTTTGAGAGCTGCAGGCAAATGAGACAGGCGCATGGAAATTGCCTCTCAGCTGCTCCTCGAAGCAATTACCCTATTTCTCCCCTTTTGTGTCTGTGAATTGAGCGCTGGGAACAGAGGTGGATTGACAGCACAGCGAGCTGATGTTTTCTGTACACCCACACACACGCATGCACGCACAGAGCGAGCTGATATTCTCTGTACACACACAAACACATGAACGCTGAGCTGATGTTTTCTGTATATACACATTTACACACAGCGAGCTGATGTTTTCTGTACACACATGCACGCACAATGAGCGGATGTTTTCTGTACACACACTTACACAGTGAGGTGATGTTTTCTGTACACGCACGCACGCACAATGAGCGGATGTTTTCTGTACACACACACACACACATGCACACACCCAGCGAGCTGATGTTTTCTGTACATACACACACACACACAGTGAGCTGATGTTTTCTGTACACACACACATGCACAGTGAGCTGATGTTTTCTGCATACACACACACACACACACACAGAGCAAGCTGATGTTTTCTGTACACGGACGCACGCACACACACACAGCGAGCTGATGTTTTCTGTACACACACACACGCACACACACGGCAAGCTGATGTTTTCTGTACACACACACATGCACAGTGAGCTGATGTTTTCTATACACACGCCCACACACACACACACAGGGAGCTGATGTTTTCTGTACAGACACACGCACACACAGTGAGCTGATGTTTTCTATACACACGCCCACACACACACACACAGGGAGCTGATGTTTTCTGTACAGACACACGCACACACAGTGAGCTGATGTTTTCTATACACACGCCCACACACACACACACAGGGAGCTGATGTTTTCTGTACAGACACACGCACACACAGTGAGCTGATGTTTTCTATACACACGCCCACACACACACACACAGGGAGCTGATGTTTTCTGTACAGACACACGCACACACAGTGAGCTGATGTTTTCTATACACACGCCCACACACACACACACAGGGAGCTGATGTTTTCTGTACAGACACACGCACACACAGTGAGCTGATGTTTTCTATACACACGCCCACACACACACACACAGGGAGCTGATGTTTTCTGTACAGACACACGCACACACAGTGAGCTGATGTTTTCTATACACACGCCCACACACACACACACAGGGAGCTGATGTTTTCTGTACAGACACACGCACACACAGTGAGCTGATGTTTTCTATACACACGCCCACACACACACACACAGGGAGCTGATGTTTTCTGTACAGACACACGCACACACAGTGAGCTGATGTTTTCTATACACACGCCCACACACACACACACAGGGAGCTGATGTTTTCTGTACAGACACACGCACACACAGTGAGCTGATGTTTTCTATACACACGCCCACACACACACACACAGGGAGCTGATGTTTTCTGTACAGACACACGCACACACAGTGAGCTGATGTTTTCTATACACACGCCCACACACACACACACAGGGAGCTGATGTTTTCTGTACAGACACACACACACACACACTCACTCACTTTCTCTGTCCAGCCTATGTGCCTCTACCCTGCAGCCTGGAGGAGAAGGGCGAGGAGCCCAGGGCTGCTGAGTCCGGTTGCGGTGCTGGTGCCAAGTGGGTTCTGCCAGCTCAGAGACCCCCCTGAGACCATGTAATGCCCTGCCCTGAGCAGCCCTTGGTCGGCAGCTTCTCTGGGGCCTCCCTGCCCCTGGCTGCATTCAGACCAGCGCCCCAGAGGGGAAAGGCCCCCGACGTGCACGTCCACACAGTCCCGCGGCTCCAGCCCGGGCTCCGCACTCCCAGTCTCCCACCTGCCGCTCTTTGCCTTCAGGGACCCGGGTTCGGCTGGGAGGCAGCTTAGGTCAGATCTCGAATGGGGTTCCCGGAGCCTAATTCCCAGTGGGAGGCTCTGGGTCTTAGTGCCTCCCGTCTCCATCCTCTGCCAAGCCCCCCCTGCAAGCCCCCGAGAAGCCCGCGAAAGGCAGGAGTCCCTAGATGGGGAAGCTGAGACAGAGTGGGGCAGGGACTTGCCCGAGAGCCTGCAGAGTTGGAGGACTCGGGGCGACCTGGGCTCACACCTCCTCTCCCCGACTGGCCTCTGACGAGATGAGCTTGCCGGTGGCCCCGGGTGCAGGCTGCTGCCCGGCTCCGTCTGGATTCCTAGTTTAACTCCCGTGGCCATAGAGAAAGGGGCCTCGAACCCTGGACCAGGTAACCCTAGACCAGCCCTGACGGGTGTGTCTGACCTGGTGTTACCCAGCTCCAGCTCCTGCCTGGAGAGCCCAGTACGGTGCGTAGCCACTGTGCCCGGGAGAAAGTTTCCTTCCCATCCCACCCCCATCCCTCTGGCCGCAGATTAAGCCCTTTGCTTCTTTTCCGAACAGGGCCATGGAGAACCATTGGTCACTGAGTCTTCAGAAGGCCCTTTGCCTTCCTCAGATCCCCCCTCCGGGCTACACACGCCAGGTTTTTGGAACCTTTCCTCGCTCCAGTCTGGGAGCTGGGAGGAGGGACTCTTGCTGGCCTGGCTGACCAGGGCCCTGGGGCGTTAAGGTGCCAGCGGGCCCGGCTCTGCCTTTCCTGCACTGAGTGTCGCCCCTCCTGCCCGCAGGGCGACAGCGAATACTCCGACCCCTTCGATGCCTGCCGGGAGCAGCCAGGGGACGCCGAGGAGACGGTGCCGGAGAACAACGGCTACATGGAGCCCTACGACGCCCAGCGGGTGGCAGCAGGTGAGGGAGCCTGGACGCTGTGCCTCGTGGTGCTGGGCACAGAGCGGCTCCTCGCTGCGGCTGCAGCCGGGGGAGAGGGCGGCTCTGTGATGCTGCTTCTCACTCTGAGTGGGGCAGGACAAGGCTGGGATCAATGCCCCTGCCTGGCTCACTGGCTACTGGGGGCATGGAAGAGCAACCAATGTGCCTCCCATGCACGTGAACAGCTAGTGCTCAATCTCCTCCTTGCACATGGGCACCTGGAACCCAATGTACCCCATGCACCTGGGCACCTGGAACCCAATGTACCCCATGCACCTGGGCACCTGGAACCCAATGTACCCCATGCACCTGGGCACCTGGAACCCAATGTACCCCATGCACCTGGGCACCTGGAACCCAATGTACCCCATGCACCTGGGCACCTGGAACCCAATGTACCCCATGCACCTGGGCACCTGGAACCCAATGTACCCCATGCACCTGGGCACCTGGAACCCAATGTACCCCATGCACCTGGGCACCTGGAACCCAATGTACCCCCATGCACCTGGGCACCTGGCGTCCAGTGTATCCCATGAACCTGGGCACCTGGCACCCAATGTACCCCATGCACCTGAGCACCTTGAAACCCAATGTATCCCATGCACCTGGGCACCTGGCGTCCAGTGTATCCCATGAACCTGGGCACTTGAAACCCAATGTATCCCATGCACCTGGGCACCTGGCGTCCAGTGTATCCCATGAACCTGGGCACTTGAAACCCAATGTATCCCATGCACCTGGGCACCTGGCGTCCAGTGTATCCCATGAACCTGGGCACTTGAAACCCAATGTATCCCATGCACCTGGGCACCTGGCGTCCAGTGTATCCCATGAACCTGGGCACTTGAAACCCAATGTATCCCATGCACCTGGGCACCTGGCACCCAATGTACCCCATGCACCTGAGCACCTGGAACCCAATGTATCCCCATGCACCTGGGCACCTGGCGTCCAGTGTATCCCATGAACCTGGGCACCTGGCACCCAATGTACCCCATGCACCTGAGCACCTGGAACCCAATGTATCCCGCTCCTCGCTGCGGCTGCACACGGGGGAGAGGGCGGCTCTGTGATGCTGCTTCTCACTCTGAGTGGGGCAGGACAAGGCTGGGATCAATGCCCCTGCCTGGCTCACTGGCTACTGGGGGCATGGAAGAGCAACCAATGTGCCTCCCATGCACGTGAACAGCTAGTGCCCAATCTCCTCCTTGCACTTGGGCACCTGGAACCCAATGTTCCCCTTGCACCTGGGCACCTGGCACCCAATGTATCCCATGAACCTGGGCACCTGGAACGCAATGTATCCCCATGAACCTGGGAACCTGGAACCCAATGTATCCCATGAACCTGGGCACTTGAAACCCAATGTATCCCATGCACCTGGGCACCTGGCACCCAATGTTCCCCTTGCACCTGAGCAGGGAAGGCCCACCATAGGGCTGCCCACCTGGCCACCTGGCACCCAATGTTCCCCTTGCACCTGGGCACCTGGAACCCAATGTACCCCATGTACCTGAGCACCTGGAACCCAATGTACCCCATGCACCTGAGCACCTGGAACCCAATGTATCCCATGTACCTGAGCACCTGGAACCCAATGTATCCCATGTACCTGAGCACCTGGAACCCAATGTATCCCATGTACCTGAGCACCTGGCACCCAATGTACCCCATGCACCTGGGCACCTGGCACCCAATGTACCCCATGCACCTGAGCACCTGGAACCCAATGTATCCCCATTCACCTGGCCACCTGGCACCCAATGTTCCCCTTGCACCTGGGCACCTGGAACCCAATGTATCCCATGCACCTGAGCACCTGGCACCCAATGTACCCCATGCACCTGGCCACCTGGAACCCAATGTATCCCCATTCACCTGGCCACCTGGCACCCAATGTTCCCCTTGCACCTGGGCACATGGCACCCAATGTATCCCCTGGCCACCTGGCACCCAATGTACCCCATGTACCTGGGCACCTGGCACCCAATGTACCCCATGTACCTGGGCACCTGGCACCCAATGTACCCCATGTACCTGGGCACCTGGCACCCAATGTACCCCATGTACCTGGGCACCTGGCACCCAATGTACCCCATGTACCTGGGCACCTGGCACCCAATGTACCCCATGTACCTGGGCACCTGGCACCCAATGTACCCCATGTACCTGGGCACCTGGCACCCAATGTACCCCATGTACCTGGGCACCTGGCACCCAATGTACCCCATGTACCTGGGCACCTGGCACCCAATGTACCCCATGTACCTGGGCACCTGGCACCCAATGTACCCCATGTACCTGGGCACCTGGCACCCAATGTACCCCATGTACCTGGGCACCTGGCACCCAATGTACCCCATGTACCTGGGCACCTGGCACCCAATGTACCCCATGTACCTGGGCACCTGGCACCCAATGTACCCCATGTACCTGGGCACCTGGCACCCAATGTACCCCATGTACCTGGGCACCTGGCACCCAATGTACCCCATGTACCTGGGCACCTGGCACCCAATGTACCCCATGTACCTGGGCACCTGGCACCCAATGTACCCCATGTACCTGGGCACCTGGCACCCAATGTACCCCATGTACCTGGGCACCTGGCACCCAATGTACCCCATGTACCTGGGCACCTGGCACCCAACTCTCCAAATGGCCCCCACTCCCTCCATGTCCATGAGCACCTACTGCTGCCCTCCTCACCCTGTCGTCTGCCCTGGCCACCTGCTGTCTGCCCTCCATGCCTGGGCCCATGTGTCCCTCCATGGTCTCTCTGCCCTGCCCAACTAATCCCCTTTCGCCTGGCTCCTAGATTTCCAGGGCCTAGGTGACTGGGAGGGCCGGCGGGGGAAGAAGCCCCAGCAGGGGCTGCAGCTTTATGACACCCCCTACGAGGAGCAGGAGCAAGCCCCCGAGGGTGGCCCAGCCAGCCCAGCCCGCGAGAGCCGCCTGGACGAGTACGACCAGCCCTGGGAGTGGAAGAAGGACCACATCTCCCGGGCCTTTGCTGGTGGGTCCCGCCCCTCCCCAGGGAAGGGCCTGTCTTGGGGGGGCGGGCAGGGGCAATGGGCCAGCTGAGGGGTGGGGCTTTGGGACGCTCTAGGATGGAAAGGCACCGCTGGGGGGTGACTGATGAACTAGGGCTGGCCGCTGGAAGCAGCCCTGGTGCTGCCAGCAAAGGGAAGGGGTGTCGGGGGCAGGGCACAGTCCCAGCCAGGCTCCATGGGGGTAAAGACCCCGCTGAAAAGAAGCCTCAGGCCTGAGCCCAGCGCCCCTTCAGTCCTCCCATTGGCTTCAGTAGCCCCTGAGTCCTGCAGTGAGTCAAAGGAGCAAAGTAGTAACATATACACTATAACTTCAGCCATGCAGCATGAGTGTAAGTCAATTGACCTGCTGTGACGGGGTTGCCCTGCCACGCCACCTCTGGGGCGAGTGGATTAGCACTCCCAGGTGCTGCCACGCATGCTGCGGTGGCAGTGTAGTGGGATTAAAACCCGAGCTTGTGCAAACGGAGGGGGCAGAGGAGTGCATTGGCACAGAGGCGGCAGAGAGCCAAAGAGAGCTGGCAGCAGCAGGGGAAGCTGCAGGGAGAGGTCCCAAGCCAGAGAGAGCTGGGCTCTGGATATCCTCTGGGAAGCCCGAGCGGAGGCTGCCAGGGATGAGGCTGCCTTCCTCGGGGAGGGAATTCAGCTGCTCACCTCCTCGACCCTTACCAAGGAGTGGACAGACCTGAGGGTTGGTGGACACCGTGGAGGACGATCACCATGTGAGGTGCCAGTTAAAGACCCATCTTTGAAGGGCCCACATAGGCCTACCCCGGCCTCGTCTGGCCAGTCCAGGAGGATCCCTCGCGAACGACCAAGACGGTGGTTCATGGACTTCCGGGGGTAACCCCGACGCAGAGTTGCCAATGCGCGTCAGGCTGCTGCCCCAATGGGAGAGACGATGGAGTTGGTGGGTAAGACCAGTTGCCAGCTCTCCGGGGAAAGGGCATCACAGGAATATCTAGGAGGGGTAGGAGAGGACTAGGGCAGGGAGTAAACTTGCTCCTGTGAGGGTTGGTGAGTTGCGTTTTTTTGCCCCCGCCAGGCGGATAGTGGAAGGATTCCCTACCCTTTGGGCCCTGGGCCAGGACCTGGTTGAGAGGTAGGGCCCGGGTCCATTTTCCGCCCTGCGTGTCAAAACACACCTTCATTACTTTAGGGGCTGAAGCTGAGGCTGGGCTGGGCACCGCAGCTGGGCTGTGGATTTGGACTGGTGCAGAGACCGGGCGGCTCAGCAGAGCTAAAGGGGCGCAGGACGTCACTCGCTATGGGGGTGCGCCGCCCACCGGGCTGGCCATGGGGCAGGGGTGGCATTTGTGGGCCAGGAGCTCCCCGTCCTTCGGCTCTGGACCGGGGATA